CGATATATATGTTGATACATAGAAATTGTAATAAAAAATATATAATTAAGTAACCGAGATATAACGTTTTAAAAATGAAGTTCAGCAAGTAAACAACCTTAATCTTATTTATTGACGCTTTTTTGTTCCACATACGTGGAACATTTTCGTTGAAGATATTGGGGGTGGGTGTGAGTAAAATGATCGAAGGGTCAACTGAATGTGCATTCTTTATTGCCATTAAGTCTTCTTGAATCGTGCTAGTATTCCTTGAATTTGTTTGTCCTAATTTAAAGACGATCCACGCGTTAAATAACATGGATCTCTAATGGTTTAATTGGCAGATTGTGCAAGCTCGATACCGCGTATACCCCGAGGTTTTACAGTACATACATAGATCGGAATACAGTAAGTAACGTTTAATGTAGTACTATGTCGCACCGGTGATCAGGATATAAACGTGAGCAAACGTGCGCACGCGTAAATGCATGTGTATTTGTGTTTGTGTTTGTGTTTGTGTTTGTGTTTTCTGTGTAGGTGGCGCGCGCTCGAAAAGTGAGCGCGCGCGCGGGCCGCGTGTCGTTCTGTGAACTTGAAAAACGAAATTATTCTCGTCGACACGTTGCCAATGGGCTGCGTACGCCGACGTTTAAACGCTGCTGGTTGCGTGACAGTCGTCCAACGTGGCTAGACTGCTGGCTCTTAACGACGCCAGACTCAAGGAACTGTGATTCAAAGTATTCATGCCGTGAGGATCCTCGCAATGCAGGTACAATCGTGAACTAACGGACTTGTGACAGTCTGGACACAGACGTTTCTTTTTTTTATCCCGTCTTTTTAAGATGTCGTACGCGCACCTGTTAGTGCAGAGTATATACGATACAAATTACGCCATGCGCTATATGATTTTCAGAGTTTACAGTTTATAGAATAGAATTTTGTAACGATCACGACGCGGTGGACCGCGCGGGAGTGTGTCGTAAAGATTTTTCGGCTTGGTCTTTACCTGGCATGTAATATATGAGAGCAAGGTAACGCTTCCAACGAATCGGGTTCGAGGCCGAACGGCTCGTTGCAGCCGCCGCATCGTAGCTCCAAATCGTCTTCCATCGCCGCGGCTAATCTCTCGTAATGAGCCTTCTGTTCCTCGTCGCCGAGAGAACCGTAAATTCGCGAGAGCCTCGATCTCACAGTTCGTACCAGGAACTAAGTTCCGTGCGAAGCGACAGGAAGAGAAGCGAGAAGGCGAGAAGAGAAACGACGGAGATTAGAAAATAGGTCGCTTAATGGGCAGAGGATAAGAGACGAGAGATACGTTACCTTAGCACCGACCGATCCAGCCACCTCGAGTAGCCTGGTGTTGAATTCGAGAGGACGACAATTGCATATTTTGTGTTGGAGACGGAGAGCTTCGAGGCACCTAGCGGCACCGTCCATGGCTTCCATTTGGCAGAGGCGATCTCCCGTCGCTGCCGCGGATCCCATGGCGCTCTCGTACTGTCGAAACGCTTTCTACGCCCGATTCGACATGTAATACGCGGGTTTCTAACCTTTTCGCTAATTTGGAAGAACAGTGACGCAAATACGTGTAGACGATTTTACTACGATTAATCACGGACGTTAATCCCGAAACAAATGTATATTCCTTAATGTCTCTTACAACATAGCGTTCATTGTTCTTCTGGGACAGTGTCACGTTTCGCATACTCACGTTTATGTCAGACTTTTTCCTATAAATATCTCCCATTATTCGTATACTTCTGGCATAACTTGCCTGATCTCCAGAAACGAGTGATAATCGCGTTGCTTCCTGCGCGAACGATCATTTAGATTGATAGGGCTTTGCGTCCGCAAAATAACGGGAAACGAGATTGTTCACCTACCGAACAATAATCGTGGGCGTCGCCGAGTTCCCCTTTTTTTCGGAGCGCCGCAGCCATTTGAAGAAGGGCTGCTCGGTGGTGTCGAGAGTTCAAGTCGCCCAATTGCAAACCCCTCGAGAGATCATACGCCCTGGCCGCGTATCTCGCGCTCTTATCAGCGTCGTGCAATCTGCAGAACAGCTCCGACAAACCTACGTACACCTGTGAGAAATTTACGTACCGCAATCTTTTTGTAAGAAGACTAGAAGACTAATTTCACGGGGAATTGTACCGAGTGTCCCAGAAAAGAAGTTAGAGTCGATAAGGATTATTCTATAGGTGTTTCTGAAGAAGAGTTTCCATTAGCAAAATACGAAGTAAGGCATGGTTTTTCAATTATTAACGAAAAACACTGACTAATGAGAACACGCGTAGATCCCCCACACTGAGCCACAGCCGACCGTTACGATCCGAGCCACCACTCCAGTGGCTGAGCGCGGGCCTACGCGTACTCTCATTGGTCAGTGTTTTTCGTTAATAATTCAAAAACTGTGCCTCACTTTGCATTTTGCCAAAGGAAATTGTTGTTCAGAAACACTTATAGAATCAACTCTCTTCGGCTTTAACCCTTTTCCTGAGACATCCTTTATAACGCTTACCTGTAATTCCAAAGACGGGTCTTGTATCGAATGAGCAATTTTGTGGGCTCTTTGAAACGCTTCCAACGCTTTACAAAATCCAGCCAATTCTAAATGAACTCTGCCGACGGTGAGATGGACCAAACCTGCGGTCGCGCACTGGTCGCATTCATTGTACAAACTGCAACATTATACACGTGAAACGTAAACGGGTCGTCGAGCCATGATGCACGGCGGTAACGTTGTATTGGAAAACTGAGAGGGAAACCGTATACGACGGTTCAACCGACGACCCAAAGAATGCTATTCACCGAAAGAAGTGGATACCTGTGCCTCGCATACTCCAGGGCTCTGTCCAATGTACCTAATCTCTCGTGCGCCCTCGCTAAATTCAAGTACGCTTCTGCTCGCATGTTCGGCGAGTCCAATTCCTCGGATATGCACAGCTGTTTGCGTCCGAAATCGATGCTATCCCTGAAGGAGAGTACAATGTTTATATTATATATAATATACAATAATAGACTTCACGATGGCTACAGAATTTGAACAAAAAAGATGGAAGATGTACAGCTAATAATAATAAAACTGAGCTAGTTCTGGCTGGTGTTAGTTTCCCCTAGGGGGACAAAATTGTGTTACAGTCGAACAATGTCGATGCCAGATAGAGGATAGAAAAATAAGATGTAGACTTATTACACGTTTTGAACTTTGTCGTTCTACAGGAAACTAACACAAACCCGAGCTGGCTCAGTTTCATTGTTACTAGCTGTACGGATTAAAGATTCGACCCTCGCATACCTGTACTTTCCCCAATCCATATAAGCCTGATAGAGATAACCGAGCAGAGCGAATTTGTCTTCCCGTTGTCTAATGTTCTTCAAAGCGCCCCGCCACTTGCGCACCGCGGCCTGTTGTTTGTGAGCGCGATAGAGCTTCAAGCCCTGTTCTACCTAAACCCAACATAGAATCGCAGGGGTCAGACTGTGTATGGATTTTTGAATGGCGAGCGCGTGAACGTAAATGGAAACGCGTTCCATGGCGATTAACGGCGCGGCGCGCGCGATGCTAAACTAAAGCGTTGGAGAGAAGGTCGTATCGATTCGGCCTTGAACTTCCTCCACCGATGGTGGTTTAAGATCCGACGATCTCGAGCAACGTAAATAGCGCGACCTCGATGATACCGGAGGGAGCAAAGCGATCAGGCTGCGACGCGGTAACGCGTAAACGAGCATCGAACGTCGCGTATGCACAGTTTTCCGATCAACCGGAACACCCTTACCCCGACGTTACTCGCTCTTCTGTAGCTACACCTACATATTTAGTCTGCCATTTGTGCATGGGTAATTATCTATTATTTTCATAGAAGGACACCGAGAAACAATTGTGTACAACAATTATTTTCCCGCCTGTTGGATCTAACCTCCAAATAGTTAATAGATAGATATGGCTAAGGTACAACGTGCGAAACAAGTTAATCATGCCAAATTCCAAAGCATTATAGATACTCATGAGTCCCCTTATTGCAATAGGGTCATAATAGTATCTTCCCATCATTAAAATAGCTACGATATACAGGATGTTTCAGAAAAAGTGTTAGAACCGAAGAGAGGTGATTCTATAAGTGTTATTGGACAACAATTTCCTTTGGAAAAATACAAAGTGATGCATGGTTTAAATAGAAACAGAATTAACTTTTACGACAGCATAGTTATCGCTGTTTCGGAATCTACAATTTCTACAATATTATATACTTTTAGTTAATGGTTGAGATGCAAAGAGGAGCGTTAATCGCGGGTTGCACGCGAGAACCTAAATACACGTACGTTACGATTTCATCGTAGCGTGATGAACGTCGCGTGCATTTTGCTCTCGGCAATGACCGCAAAGAAGATCGTCGAGGTCGCGGGGAACGGTGATAAAAAAAGAGCGGACGGCCTTGGTAGGAAGCGTGCGAGAAAGTATTTTACCCGTCTCCGTGCCATGTGCTGGTCCAACCGACGTCTGCAGCCTATCAGACATTCCCACAAACCAGAACCGGACCTGCCGTTCTGGTAATGATCGTTCCCGTTCGAATTCTGATGCCGGTAATCCTCTTCGGCGAACTCGCACACGTCCAGAGGATGCCGCGAACCGTCCGGGCTACCCAGCAGGGCGGTAGCGGACAGTTGATGGCTCGCCGGTCCACTGTAAACACCCGTCGAGCGGTCAGTTTAATTTTAATCGACTGGCACAGCCGTGGATTACTCTTCGGATTAATCGTTAAAGGTCGCGATCGATTCGCCGAATCGAGGTGACCGGAAACAAACGGGACAGCAACTACTTGGCGTCGTCCCAGGCGGCAGTACGTCTTTGCTTGATTTTTTTACTCTGTCAACCCTGTTTCAGGTCGCGCGGTGACCCAGCCATTTAATATTCGAGTAACTCACATCATTGTTACAAAATGCAATCGTCTATGTTACTCAAACTGTTACGGACGCGGAAACCAACTGGAAATTCGATCGCGGAATCTTAATTATTAGGCGCCCCGAGACGAACGACCTGTGTGCCAGTCACCATGGGCGAGGCACCTGTGACCTCTTTTCCTGACCTATATACCAAGTTGCCGAGTACCGCGGCACCGCGGCACCGCGACAATTGCCCCACCCGTTCCGTTTCCTTCCTCGTGCAAGACCCGAAACCCGTCCCGGTTAAACGAGACTACATAAACCAATCAGAATTTACATAGTTACAACGATAACTACGTACGCAAAACGATTGGTAGCTCGTTATAATCGGTCAAACATAATTCAATGTTGCGGGTGTCGTTTGGGAAGCGAATGGATACTTGCCCGAGGTAGTCTCTCGAAGAGATAGATTCCCATGACATGATTGTATTTGCTTTTCTCCGTTAGCTGGTCGTTTGGTGTGCGTGTGGTTGTATGGTTCCGCAAGAGCATGTCGATCTTTCGCGGCTCGATCTCAACTTCCCTCGCCGGCATTGCCTCCGAAACGGCCGCGAGACGCTGCCTCGTTGCGATACATATCCCTCTGTTTATTTCTGGCCGACGGCACGTTTATCATTTGGCTATTTTATCCTTTATCCCGATCGTTTCGATTATTTTTTTTCCCCGGTCGAGAGACCCGTTTAAATGCGAGGGTTCACGGAGAAATCGTTTCGGTCGAGATCGATCGGGGAGAGTCGAATTGGAACACCGTTTGAGGTAGCTTTTTTTTCAATTACGCGCGCTGGTCTAATCTTGGACAGAGTTCTTTTACATGTCGACGGAGTTTCGTGTCACGGGAGAAAAAATATTTTTACACATTCGCGAATTCTTTGTACTTACGTTTAATTGAGCACCGTGCGGGGGGGAAGTAAGTACCTACATTGGCGAATTGGCGTGAAACGTGAGCAAACGATATTCCCGCGGAAAGGAGACAAATCGAGAAAGAGAGAGAGAGGGAAAGAGATAGAGAAATCGAGAGAGAGAGAGAGAGAGAGAGAGAGATGGTGGTAGCGGAGAAGAGGACGGAAAGAGGAGGAGAAGCGCGGTCGAAACTATGAACAGAGTCAGAGGAATGTCGATCACGTAAAATCGGTAAATAATTAACGTCGATTATTCTCGTTAACCCGTTCTCTCTCTCTGACCGAGCGGCGGCGACGGCTACGAAAGTCTCGACTCTTGAACTTTGCCACGATTCACTTCGCTCACCTATGCCTCGAATGTTCGGTATCTTACTTACAGTTAAATCTAATTAACGTTAAATACGTAACATTCTATAATCTATGACGAAATAACGAGGTATATAGACATCCGCGCGCGCGCCTATTAGTTTCTCTTCGATAAAACACTCTGTGTTTCTGTGTATACGTATAATATCTGTGTATGTAATAACTATTTTTTATCGAACACAATGGTTGGGAAGGTAAAATCGGGGGATGACGACCGGAGGAGAGTCGGTCGTGATACGTCGTGTCGTTAACTCTTCCGCTCCATGGTCCAAGAATGCTATGTTTAAATCTTGGATCCTTGCCTTCCCCCACGGTTTACCGCATATTCTCCGTTCCCCCTCATTTCTGTCAATCGCACGAGAATACTAAAATACGAATTTTTAGGTACGACTCTGATTACTGGAGGACTCGGCAGCGGCTTTAATCAGACTGACGGGCAAGAATACCGAAACGGAGTTATCTCGGATTAAATCGACGATTTCGGACGAGGGAGTCGATTCGGGATCGTGTAAGTGTCGGAGACAGGTTTCCGATTTTCGTCAGAGAGCTTCGATTTTGAGTTTGCTACCCGTTTTGTGGCGAACGCTCGAGGACGTGTGCTGGTTAAACACGTGTGATGACGTTTCGTCGAAGGAGCAGCAGTAACGATCCTGGTTGAAAGACGTTTCCACATGCCGTAGTTCAATGCACCGTCGAGGCGGTTAGATCTCGCTGAGACCACCGATTCGGTGTCTCTTCCGCTTCCTCGAGTCTACTTCCCTCCACTTTGCACCCCTTGTCTCCTCGCGCCCCGTCTACGTCGTTCTTTCAGGAGATTGTCGAGGTGTATCTCCTCGACTTGCGAGCCTGGCACAATGTACGTTGACACTTGCGATACGTCTACGTTCTTGTCTCTCCTGTCCTCTGCCCTTTTGTACGTCCCTCCGTTCCGCTTCTATCGCTTTTTCCGCCTGGTCCAAGCGAGATTTATCTTCGATTCATGAACCTCGCTAGGATTCTGCGTGGCACGGTGTACCAGCGACGCGTATAGGAATATACTCGTTCACACCACCGATTCCGTGTACTTATCGTTCGCCTCTCCTTCCCTTCGCTCTGTAACCCGAACGGAATTTCCAATTGACTCGCCGGATCGTCTCCGGATTCTGCGTCCCGCGTCCAGGAATAGCGTTTAGCACGGGAGAACGTGGACCAAACCCGAACGGTCGAATCGTCCGGTTCGCGTTCGCCGTTGCACACGATACCGTCGTCACGCGAAAATCAACCGGCGATGGTCGGGGTAGAACTGTCGCGCCCGAGCCGCAGCAGCCCGCAACATACGACCCGACCGATTCTCTCTTCTCCTTCCCGAACAGTCCACCCTCGCACCCCCTTCCGCACCCCACGCGACTCACCACCCACCGATGCACCCTCTCTTCGCTCGCTCTTCCGCGCTTTGCCTCGCCTAGCCTTGCCACCCTTGCTCGGTCCTCTCACTTTCCTCTTCGCCCCTCGCCACCCTAGGCCACGTTTTACCCTCCCGGTTCCCCCCCGCCCGATCATTGCCATTCCCACTACCTCCCCCGACCCTCGCCCCTGTTCTGCCCTGTTTCCCTTCGTGTATATACCCGCACACACACACACACACACACGCGTCCGCGCACACCTCCAGAGAAATCTCTTCCGTATCCACCGACGAGAGCACCAGCTCGTCCCTAGGTAGATACACACCTCCACCACCCTCGTAATCGTTGCAGCTGCCAATGGATTCCGATACAATTTTCTTTTCTTATATTCAATTCTCTCCTCTTAATCGGCGTCGCCCAATGTGTCGTCTTTTAGATAACTTTGGATACACGATTTATCGTTAAGATGATTCTATCTCTTCATGTATTTCGGAATGTTCCTCCTTGCATAATCGTTCATTCTTAAACGAGTTCTCTAAAATTTTATTCACCCAAAATTCGATACTCAATTGTTTAAGGATCATGCGTGACGTCGGTAAAGTCGCGTTACTGAAATCCATTTAAAAAGTGTTGTAGATGGAAAACGGTTTTTGAGCGCGGTTTAAAGGGGCATCGGTGCTTGTGTATGTGCAGGCAGCTTTAAGGGTGGAACTTTTGATGAAAAACCTGGGGGGGAAAAACGGGAGCGCGAGTCAACTGGAATCGGTGATCGCGCGTTACCATAAAAATGGGCGAGGCATTGCCCTATCGTGAACTTTCAGCTTTAGTGGATGAGGTATCCCAGCCAACCGAATCCTGAAGGGAGACGAGAGTGACCCATTTTCCGTCTCGCTCCACCGATCCGGATGGCTCGCCTCCGCCGGTTCTCTCTCCTCGTTTCCGGCCACGATCCCGCACGACTCGCGCCGAGATTTCACGAGAGCCGACCCGTTTACGGGGATGCGATACTACAGCTACCTCACGCCACCCCCCCGCCTACGCCAGCCCCTACCGACTCCTAGGCAAACTTTCGTCCGTCGCATCCCTCCACGTTTATACACGCGTCCAAAGTAGGTACATTGTCCTGTTAAGTCTCGGTAGGCTTGTCAATTTTCAAGCGCTTGTTAACTTATACTATCATACAAAAACGTCACAAAAATGGTCAATTAGTAACCGTGAAGTGTTGAGCTAACGTCGACTAGCCACACTAATGGGGATTGATCCTGGCAAGATTTGATGATTTTTATCAAGTATACCTCTTGAAACGATGCGGTCGAGTCCACTAAAACCGAGTTTCTATGAATTTGATTCGGTTGAGGGCCATAGAATCGGAAAATGCAGGTCTGGCGACCCCCTTCCTCGGTATTGTACGTACATATGCATGTCTCCTTATGTAGGTAAAGGGGTTATCGGTTCAAGGTCCGTCTTATAGCCATCCGAAGAATCTAACTAGTATGTTTACTTGACCAGCTACGCTGCTTTCCCTCTTTCGCTGTCTCATTTAGCTGTACTAATTACAGGAGAAAATAGCTCGATTCTTGTTTCAAGCCTCTACCCGAACGACGAGCTGGTCCTTTTAACGTTTTTAAGTATTTCAGCCTGTATACATAATATACGAGCTAGAATACTTAGAACAACGTTCCAACGTTCTAATTGGACCTACACTACTTTCTGCTCTTTTGTTCCAAGTCACAATATCCGTGGCCTTTTATAATTGTACGTTATGTATGACGCGCGGTTTGATCGAATGGAACCACAGGAATAAGTTGTCGACGTAACGGAGCTGAGTAGAAACTCCGCGATATTCCAATTTAATATGGAGAATCGTATCGCTTCACAGTGGTCTGGTAATGCGGTTTTTGTGGCCAAAAGTCAAAATGTCATCAGAACTTTCTGAAAGTTGGTAACTCGTGGCTGTGGTGAGCTCGCTTATAATGAGACTGACGTTAAAAATTAACAATTCGATGCTTTCAGTAACGTTTCAAGCTTAAAATCAGAAGAACTTCATTTTTATATATTGATTGGAATTTATTGTATTTAATGTAATATTAATATTTTTCAGTAATGGTCTTCAGAGTAACAAATTTTTTAATATCATAAATAACCTCCAAAAAATTAACTCTTTCATGAAACGGTAA